CGAGCTCTCCGGGCCCCAGGTTGCGAGGCGGTGGCGGCGGCGACCGGCGAGCTCTCCGGAAGCCCGGTGGCCGCGGCTAGAAGGAGGCCGCGCGGCCGCTGGGGTGCGCTGTGTGCCGAGGCGGCTTCTAGGAGCTGCTAGGGCGACCGTGGGTGTGTTTGCAGAGTGCACCCCTAAGAGGGAGAAGTTCGCCATGTGGGGACCAATCCCAAACCCAGGAGACTGGAGGTAGGGGAAGTTTCCCCCTAAAGTCATAGCTGGGTTACTCCCGGCGCTTTTCCTCGGGCCTGGAGGGTGGATGGGGGGAGGGGTTCGGTGACTGTCCCGCCCTCCTTTTTCCCCCGGCCCGACGCTGGGGTCCGGCAGGAGCGGGGACCGACCTCTCTCGGATCCCAGCCAGTGCAGTGACATAAAGTGCTCCAGCCACGGGCCACGCCCGGGCGTAGAGAATTGGGGCGTGTGCCACCGAGACAGACTTGCGGGTGTAGGTGGGGGACTTTCAACAAAGCCATACAACATAATAATAATAACAGCAGCAATCACTGAAAAATAAGTCATTATTGCGCAAAGCATCCCCTTTTCATAACTGGAAAAAGACTATCTGGAAAAAGAAAAAGGCAAACGGAAGTAATCATGGGCACTTTGTGCATGCAAGTTAGAAAACAATTAGGTTAATTTAAGCACCGGAGCTACCCAGATGCCGTCCAGAGCAACCAGTCAGCCCAATTTTAAATGAATTCATCATTTTTATTAAACTGCAATTAACACCTCCCCCCAAAGTATCCGTTACACAGGGCTCAGCCTTCCTACCCTATTTTGTCCTACATCCATCCTCTTTTTTTTCTCCAAAAAACAAACAAACAAACAAAAAACGGAGTGAGTGACATCCTTTGCTTTATTCAAATCCCTATCTTCGAATTTGCAGCTTCAGTATAGCATTTTGCAATGACCTAAATTTTTTGGCAGAATTAAATGTGGAGTTGTATATTGTACAACGTGTGAAAGACATTAGCAGTGATACATCAAAAGTGGTTTAGCTGACATATTTTAAACAACCTCCCTTTACAGTGCCCAAGAATGTAAGACATTACTCACTACATAGAAGCACATAATTAAATGGATGCTATGGGAACTTTTTAAAATGTCTTCTGGCCGGCATGGTGTCTCAGCCTGCAATCCCAGCACTTCGGGAGGCTGAGGGGAGAAGATTGCCTGAGCCTGGGAGTCAAGACCAGCCTGGGCAATTTGGTGACACATCATCTCTACAATAAATCATATATACACACACACACACACACACACACACACACACACACAATTAGCCAGGTGTGGTGTGCATCTGTGGTTCCGGCTACTTTGAAGGCTGAGGTGGAAGGATCACCTAAGCCCAGCAGATTGAGGCTGCGGGCAGCAGTGAACATGCCACTGCACTCCAGCCTGGGTGACAGGAGCGAGACTCCAACTCAAAAAAAAAAAAAAGTTCGTCAAATCCCCTAATGCAATAGTTTATCTTTACTACATTGAATAATTGTCCTTTTGTAACTTCATTTTCTCTGAAACTTTACTGTTGTATGCAAGTAACCACAACCAAAGAAAAACAGGCAAAACTGTGGAGTGTGAAGTAATAAGTGATCAATTATATCAGATTTTAAAATGAGAATTTTCTCTTAAGTTTTTTTTTTTTACAATGATAGTGATTACAGTGCTCATGAAATGCAGTTCTGAGAAATACATCCTTAGGCAATTTCATCCTCCTGCGATCTTCATAGTGATCTTATGCAAACCTACATGGTTTTGCCTACTACACATCTATGGTGTATGGTACAGCCTTTTGCTCCAAGGCTACAAAACTGTAAAGCACATTACTGAAATGAATACTGTAGGAAATTGTAACACAATGGCTAAGTACTTGTGTAGTTAAACATGGAAAGGGTACAGTAAAAATATGATATTATAATCTTATGGGACCACGGTTGTATATGTGGTCTGTCATTGACTGAAACATGGTGCGTGACTATAGAACTTCTCCTCAGTGCTGTTTTTTTTCTGTAGAAATCCATGCATTCCTCCTAACAGAATTTTTGGCTTGAATTGTTTGCTTTGGTTGGCTTACCTTGGTTAAATAAACCAATATGCTGGCTTGAAAGTTGGTGCCTCCTCCAAAATTCATATGGAAACTGAATCCCCAATTCAACCTATTGAGAAGTGGGTCCTTTAGGAGGTGACTAGACCATGAGGGCTCTGCTCTCATAACTGGACTAGTGCTTTTAAAAAGCACTCCAGGAAAACCTTTGGCCCCTTCCCTCCCTTCCACCATGTGAGGACACAGCACTGACCTGTGTGGAGGATGTGATAGCAGGATGCCATCTTGGAAGCAGAGAGGAGCCCTCACCAGACAACAAAACTTCCAGTACCTAGATCTTGGAGTTTCTAGCCTCCGGAACTGTGTGAAATAAATTTCTGTTATTTACAAATTACCCAGTCTGTGGTATTTTCTTTCTTTTTTTTTTTTTTTTTTTGAGTCGGAGTCTCACTCTGTAGCCCAGACTGGAGTGCAGTGGCCGCTCCCAGCCACCGCAGCCTCGACCTGCTGGGCTCCAGTGATCCTTCCGCCTCAGCCTTCCAAGTAACCAGAATTACAGGCATGCACTACCACGCCCGGCTGATTTTTTGATTTATTGTAGAGATGAGGTCTCGCTGCCCAGGCGGGGTCTCGAACCCGCGGGCTCAGGCAATTCACTCACCTCAGCCTCCCAAAGGCGCAGGATTACAGGCTGAGCCACCGAGCCCGGCTGTGTCTTGTTCTTTTTAAACATTATACTCTTTCTTTCATTCCTTTGCAGCAATCCTGTAATATATGCAATACAATAAAGTAAAAAGTACATTAACCAACTTTATACCAATAAATTCAACAATTTAGATGAATTCCTTAAAAAAATAGCTAATCAAAACTGACACAGGATAAAATTAAGAATTCTGCTGAAATAGAATTAAATAACACATTGAATTTATTATTTAAAAAATATTTCCTACAAGGAAAACTTCAGACCCAAGTAGTTTCACTAGTAAATGTAGTTAAACATTACAGGGAAAAGCAATACCAATATTACACTAACACTTTCATCAAGCCAGAAAGTCCTAATACTAAAGCATAACAAAGATATTAGGAAAACAATATCCCTTATGGCATAGATACAAAATCCTTAATAAATTATTAGCAAATTAAATCCAACAAAATTTTTTTTCTTCAGATAATATTCATTGACTAAGCATGACTTATCCCAGATATATGTTGTTGTTTTAACATTCAAAAGTCATTTAATGTAACTGACCATATTAACAAAAATTGAGATGTCAATTGATGCAAAAAAAAAAACCCATTTGATAAAATTTAATAACCATTCACGACTTTAAAAAAAAATCCTCAGCAAACAATATAAACATACTTTTTAATTTGATAAAGGATGTTTATAAAAAATTTCTCCTGAAGATTGTAACAAGAAAATCCATCCTTACCATTTCATTCACTATTTTGCCAGTGCAACAAAGCAAAAGAAAAAAGAAAAAAGAAAAAAAGAAATACAAGACATAAAAATTGAAAAGAAAGTAAAACTTTCTTTGCGGACATGAGAATCTATGAAGAATATCTAAGGAATGTACAAAGCAACTACAGCAATTAAGAGATGATTTAGGGCCGGGTGTGGTGGCTTGCCTATAATCCCAGCACTTTGGGAGCCTGAGGCGAGAGGATTGCTAGAGTCCGCGGGTTCGAGACCAGCCTGGGCAACCTGGCAACTTCTCTACAATAAATCACAAAAAGTAGCCGGACGTAGTGGCGTGCATCTGTAGTTCCATCTACGTGGAAGGCTAAGACGAAAGGATTGCCTAAGTCCAGCAGGTGGAGGCTGCGGTGACCGTGAGAGTGCCACTGCACTCTAGCCTGAGTGACAAGAGTGAGACTCCAACTCAAAAAAAAAAAAAAAAGAGATGATTTAGTAAAGTTTCAGTATAAATGGTCAATATGCAATAATTGTATATGCAATAATATATAATATGCATAATTTGCAATAATATGCAATAACTGTATTTTCTGTATATTAGTGTTATGGGCTGATTTGTGTCTTCTCTCTCAAATTTATGTTGAAGCCCTGACCCCCAATATCTCAGAATGTGATTGTGTTTGGAAACAGAACCTTTAAATACATAATTAAAGTTAAATATGATCATGTGGTTTCTAACTCTATCTGGCCAGTGTCTTGATAAGAAGTCCAAATTTGTGTACACAAAAAAGAGACACCAGGGATGCTGTCCCACAGGGGGACAACTATGGGAAGAGGTAGCAAGAGGATGGGCATTTGTAAGCCAAGAAAAAAGATCTCAGAGAAAACCAATGTGCTAGTATCTTGATCTTGGATTTCTAGTTTCCAGAACAGTGGGAAGATACATTTTTATTATTTAAAAGTCTGTGATCTTTTGTTATGGCAACTCTAACAAACTAATACAACTAGCAATGAACAATTAGAAAACAATGCCATTTGTGATAATGTGAAAAAACATAAATACTTAGGGATAAATTTGACAAAATATATGTGAGAAGCATATATTAAGAGTTATAAAATATTGCTGGAAGGAATGCAGAAAGACCTAAATAAATTAACAGATTTATGTTTGTTGATTGGAGGACTCAATATTATTATAATGTCAGTACTCTCCAAATTGATTAATATAGTCCCTATCATAATCTAAACATACATTTTCATAGAAAATGAAAATCATATTCTAAATTTTCTACAGAAAGGCAATAGACACAGAATGACCAAAACAATCCTGAAAAAGAATAAATTCAGAGAAAAAAATACCAATTTGAAGATTTACTATAAAGCTACAA